CCCTGAGCTTAGTCGAACACGACCTTACTGTCAATAGTCCTGCAACATGCAATAGAAAATCAGGTAACTAAAGGGTAGTCTTTAATCAGAGTCACATAATGGAAGCTCAGACGAGGAAGACTGAAGAACATAAACTGTGGTCAAAAGAGATCTTAACAAAGGTTAAAATACACGACAGGAAGAAGAAACAAACAAATGACAGTACAGCCCAACAAAAATGCTCTGGAGGAATTTTCAGCGTTAATTAACTCATTAACCTATTTCTATATTCTCTATTATCATCTATTTGTTTTTAATACCTTAAACGTATACCTTTTCACATTGTATGCATTACCATCATCATTTTATCGGCCTATTTATTTATTTGTTCTTTCTTCAGATACTGGTCTAATCTTTACAATTTTTTTAATGGCAACCAACCAACCTCCTGCTTGATTATATGATAGCTGCTGGTATCCAGTAGCCTTACTCCCCTGACACAAACTCACTCACTGGAATTACAAGATTTATAAATCAGCAAATGATTTTCAACCTGTTTAGAACTAATTCACTACAACGGTTAGACAACCACCCATTGGACATTACCTAATTACAAGAACTGTACAGAAACAGCAAGACGCTAGAGCAAAGAAATCAATCCGTTCGTTCTAGGTCGCCGTAAGTATACTGGGTTAGCAATAAAAGTTGTTAAATTAAGTACATTTAAATCAATCGGAATTCCAGAAGTGTCACATCCCTTTACTAGCTCACGGATGTACTTAAAGGTGAGTTTAGTTTAGTCACGTCCTCGTTCATACCGTACCTGGTACCGCGAAGACCGAATAATAGTCCACTATGGATAACTGAAACAGTCAGGCAACTTCTGAGAAGAAGGAAGAAGCATTGAAATATGTTCATCTCTACTGGATTAAAACAATACAGATCCAGTTATTGTAAGATTAGGAATGCCTGTAAATTGTTGATAAGTAAGACTAGGCGATCATATGAAAAGCAATTGGTTAGGGATTTTAGATATAATCCGAAACGGTTATTCTCATATTTAAAAAGACGAACTCAGAGGAACGATGGAATTCCATCACTTCTGATGCAAGAAAATCCGTTAATCTTAGCAGAGAATGATACCGTAAAAGTTGAAGCTTTATCGTAATATTTCAGTAAAGTGTTTTCCATCGGTAATGAGAAACGACCAACGATTAATTGTGATCGCGGCGGCTCGCTGATGGACCCTGTAGTCATTGAGAAAGGTACTGTTTTAAGGCTACTTCAGCATCTCAAACCTGAAAAGCCCAGTGATCCTAATGATATTCATCCTAAGATTATGAAAACCATATCAGATGTAATTGCTGAACCATTTGATATGTCTCTAAGGCAGTCCAGACTGCCTGGAGTAGGGATTTAGTTAGTAACTATAGACCCGTTAGCTTAACTAGTGCAGTTGTAAAACTGATGGAAAAAATCATTCGGATATCTGTTATAAACTATGTTGAAGGGCATAACCTATTCTCCATGGAACAAAATGGTTTTCGGAGAGACCTATCACGCTTGACAAATCTCATTGCGAAAGAAGATTAGGCTGCTGAAAGAAACCAGAGTATTCCCGTGGATGTGATCTTCCTAGACCTTAGTAAGGCCTTCGATAAGGTCTCCCACTCTGGTCTTAAATTCAAACTGGAACGTTTTGGAATCCACTATACAGTCTTAGATTGGATAAGTAACTTTCTTCATGACATGAGACAAAGGGTAAGGGTAAATATGGCATTCTCCTCGTGGGTATCTGTAAAAAGTGGAGTTCTTTAAGGTTAGATCCTCGGTTCTCTCCTCTTTTTTACTTTATGTAAATGAACTACCAACTGTAACAGAATCATCCGTTCTACTCTTCGCTGATGACATAAAAATTTGGAGACCCATACACAGTATGGCGGATAGGATAGTATTACAGAATGATCTTAGCTCATTGGTGGCATGGTTGGACAGGTGGTCACTAGAAGTAAATCCTAATAAGAGTGTAGTGATGCAAATAAATAACTATGATGAGTCGTATCACTATGCAATATGTGGATTCGTGCTATCCGAAGTAAGAAACTATAAAGATTTAGGATTCATACTAAGCAGTGATCTCAAAACCACTAGTCACTGTAAGGCTGCTGGTGCGAAAGGCTATAGGGTATTATGGTTTATTTGTAGGTCTTTCCAGTATTTAGATGATGAAATGTTTAGATTATTATACCCGATTTATGTGCGAACACATTCAGAATACGGGATTCAAGCGGCGAGTCCTTGTTTCAAGTATGAAGCAGAGATGCTGGGACGTGTCCAACGACGAGTTACTAAGATGGTGAGGATACCACAAGCTTTCAGAATTTTACAACGCTTTAATCAATAACACCCACCAAGTGAAATCAAAAGACAGAAGAGGATCGTCTGATCTAATCTGGCTAACAATCACAGGGACTGTTGAGCACGGCGTTCCCACTAGTGATCTGGTGCGGATGCATGACCGAGCTCCTTCAGCTAGGTGAGTCCATTAAAACTAATGTGGTCAGCATCCAATGTCGAAACTTTACGGAGCTATTTATTTTGGGGATTTATTTACCACTACAATGGTACAAGGTCTATCTGGCCTATCTTATGAAGACAGAGTGAAACACCTTAACTCATTTCCGTCATCTTATGGTAGAGTACGGTGTGGTCTAATATTGGCTTATCGTATACTGAACGATGACCTTGGTATTAACATGTCTTATCTTCTACTTCTGTCTAGGACTGATCATTTGAGAGGACATTCGGATAAAGTTCAAAAACCGAAATCAAATCGTTTACGTCCGGAGTTTCGTTTCTCTCACCGAGTAGTGAATCACTGGAATTCTCTACCGGAACACGTAATATCAGCACCTTTTGTTACTATATTCAAAACGAGATTGGACCTACACAGCATTACAAACTGCAAGGATTAATATAGGTCAATAGACCTCCTATCCTTATTACTGAAGATCTGATAGGTTGCTGCGACGTGTGGCAGAGATATTTGAAGTAGTTCTGTGAAGAACAAACTGAATTTGAAAGATTATGTGTAAGACAATTTTGGAAAGAGAGACGTATTTACCCAGGGCGCGAAGTTTGGTTTTTGTTCTCCCTTCCCTCTTATTAACTAAGTACGGCATGTATGATATTTTTTTAGATCTTTCCTATACTCCAATTAACGCTGATTACACGTGTTACATTCCATTTTGTGAATTCGACATGTTCAGGTTGCATCTGATCGTTTTTTAGTATGTCTAAAAGTGAAGAACGTTTATTACTGAAAAGCATCTGTGGGGAAGTTGTTAAAGATACGTTTCTTGAGGCAAAAGACTCTTATGGAAACTGGTACCCTGTGAAGGTCCTCAAAGTTGATAAAAGTAGAGTAAGTCTAATGTAATCAGTATGTTGTATGTTAGCACAAACGGGTGTCAAGAAACTCTTCAGTGTTTAAAACCTTTCTTGATGTGTGGTCTATTTAGCGTGTTAAATGGCTTCTGCAAACAAATGTCAGCCTTTTCTGTAGTGAATACTGTCCATACGGATTTATTCTGTTTCTGGCTTCACCGAAAAATAGATTGATCACGAAGAGCCTGTACATTACTCTCTTAGGTTCCAGTTTATAGCTTTAACAACAATTATACTTACCTGCCATGCAAAAACATGCTTCGTCATTCCGAGTTCCCGGTTTTAATGTTTTTGTGTACCATATTTCCCATTCATCTATCAACTTTAAAACAGGAATTCAATAACACCGGATTTAATGAAGCGTGTTTCGGCATGTCATGCTATGTGTTTAGGTAAACTGGCGGCTTTTACAACATTAGATCTGTCAGACTTTTAATCATATATATATGGATTACTGGGATACTAAATACTTCCATCTTACCCATGACATGCATATTTATTGACGCACTGTTACGATAATCCCTTCTTGTTCCAAACCTGTTCGAAACTTTAGACTAACTACAGTGTTTTGTTTTCAGTTGCACTTTATTTACCAGCATATTGTTAATATACTCTACATATTTGTCTTCCACTGACCAATGGTGCAACTAATATCATTACAATTACTTTAATTACCTTAACTGTTTGAAGTAGTTGGTCAGTGGTCTGGTGGTTAAAAATTCACTTTACAAGTAATGTACAGGTTCTGTGTTTTTGAGCAATTTTAAGAGCCAGTAATGCTACCCAGCTAAGTAGACAGGACTAGGTTGGGCAGGGTTCGAAGTGACAACCTTGTGATTGAAATATGAGTATTGTAATCACTAAACTAAGACTGTCGTCATAATTTACAGTTTGAGGTCCGCCCGCACAGGCAATATAGCTTAAAGCCAAGAAGATAAATATGCAATTAGTGAGATTTACTGCTCAGTATGAAAGCTCAATATACTACATTTGGCTGAAATATTGTACTCTACATACAGAAAACTTCATTTACCATGTTCACTCTCTACTGTTTGTAACTGAAAATGAGTCCTCCCTATGATCACTTTAACTTCATTTTTATTTTTAAAGCGAACATCAAACAGGTGAATTCAGTAATGAGATTATTGGGGTGCTTTATATACCTTTATGGAAACCTATTTGTCTCCAGAGCGCGGATTAGTTCAAGTTTATAATCAATGCAAACAACATTATTGAAATAGCTTTGCAGATAATTGATCAACATTCGATTGGTCTGTGGCTGTATATGTTCTCGTTCAGTTATAATTTAGTCTCAACTGGCAGTGTCTGTCATTGAAAGGTATACCTCAGAAGTACATAGACCTTGTGAAGGCTGTTTACTCGAACACTACTAATCGTGTCAGAGCTTATGGCGAATCGTTATCTGATTTTGCAACCTTAATCAGTCAGTAACAACGTAGAACTTCGTACGTACGTATATCAGTTCGAGTTGCCACACCACATTAGCACAGAGATTCAGTTGTCGATTCAAATCCCGTAGTGGTAGAGGTAATAAGAGTATAAGCAGTAATCGGGAGGATTAGGGTTTGGAGATGTTATTCAAGGAGTATAATCCAGTGAAATAAATTTGGAAAGAGGAAAAAGGGACATGAAGAATTCAGAAGATTAGAATTTGGGAGAACACAAAGAGTGGATGCACCTGCGCCATTGCAAACGATTTTGAGCCATGTCATTCAAGGTCTCTAACCATCGGTTGCTTTCATCTCGTGGTCCCCAACCAGGTAGTCTACACTTACCAACATGGCTCAGTCCACTTGTCAGTGACTTCATAGACTTGTGCCATGTTTTGGTTTGGCCGCCCCTAGCTTACTTCCAACCTACTCCTATACCACTGAACATAGCACGTCGAGGCAGTCGGTCGTTGGGCATACGTAACGTGTCTCAGCCACTTCAACTGATGAAGTTTCACTACTTCATCAATTGATTTGCCATCTTTACCTAGTACCTTAATTTGTGCCCATCAAGACTGTTCACCATCTCCATTTTTGTTCGACTTCATTATAGATATACTGATGGAAATAACGCTCTCGTCGACTGAGTTTTCGGGCATTGATCTCCTTCCAGGAAGTCCACTTATCGACTTAGAATACGCAGATGATATAGTCCTGTTTGGTGAGAACACTGATAAAATACAGTCTTTTGTTGGCCTGAGCAACAATCTCAGGATGTTTGGAATGCGTTTCTCCACCTCTAAATGCAAGTTGTCGCTTCAGAACTGGTCTGCGTCAACACTTGAACTAAAGATAGGGAGTGAAGTAGTCAAACGCGTTGACAACTTCACTTATCTTCGAAGTCTGGTCATCCCAAATGTATTGGTGTCTGACGAGATTTCAGCACGGATTCGAAAAGCTCGTTTGGCTTTTGTCAACTTGCGTTATCTGTGGCGAAGGCGAGATATCTGTCTATCAATAAAAGGACGGGTATACTGCGCGGCAGTTCGTTCTGTTCTACTTTGTGGCTGTGAAACGTGACCATCAAGAGTAGAAGATACTCATAAACTACTAGTATTTGACTACAGATGCCTTAGAAGTATAGCTCGCATCTGCTAGGATCACCGGGCAGGTAATAATGAAGTTAGACACAGTGTATTATGGATGGGCCACGTGGCACGCATGCCTGAACACCGATTACTGCGACACGCAATGTTGACTAGTGTTGGGGATGGTTGTAAGAAAGTTAGGGGAGGTCAAACCAAAGCGTGGCATCAGTCTCTGAAGTCATTAGCTTCTGGTCTGAGCCATGTTGGTAGGTGCAGACAACTTGGTTGGGGTCCGCGCGACTATCGTAACAAATGGTTAGACTCTGGGTGACATAACTCAGGATCGATCACAATGGTGTAGGTGTATACACCCTTTGTCTTCCCTTAAACCGTGGGATTAAAATTGCCTTATACCTTTATTTCTACGAACTAATTCTTTCTTCCTATGTCCTTTTTTATATTACTACCATTGAAGTGACTACTTCTATAAATTTGGTGTTTATCCTGTGCTAATGTGGTGTGGTAACTTGGACCGTTGCATATATGTGCCTGGTCCTACGTTGTAGCTGATTGACATGAAGGCACGAAATATATATGCACTACATAAATGATTCAATTTATATGGAGGCTGGAATACTGTCCGGGTGCCCGAATCGAAGCAGGTGGTTTTCTTAGGAAGGCACTCCTCGAGTATTTGAACTAAACGTATAATCCTCAAGGCAATGGAGCAACGGTAAGAGATGCAGTCTCATGGTACTTGGTGACCGAGAATGGGTTAATACATCAGTTGTTCTCTAACGATCCTGGACTCTATGTGCGTCATTGGTTTGGAATCAAGGTTTTCCAACTCCCCTAGGTAGATCCTCCGTATCAACCAACCTGGTTAAACTACCGAACATTCGCTTTTCACCCTCTCAATTTCGTTAACGTCACTCTCCCTTCGAGAATGCAGGATAGGACTTCCCTGACAGTGGCTGTATACACGTGGCCATGTGAGAGCATTTGGAGAGGGAGATTGAACTCTCCCCACCCTCGACCGTACCAGGACATTTGAGGGCACTAACTTCAAATCGACGAATTACTTTCTGCATCCAGCTCCTACTCGGGTTTAAGCGGACGTATGGTATCACTATTCTTCATACAATGTTGTGGTTGAAAGCAGGTACGTAACTGCGTAATCGTTAAATGATTTACATAATTCGTTATTTGCAAAGAACGTCTTCTTTTATTTCCAGGTTCATGTTCATTTTTGTGATTGGAGTTCACGTTATGACTCTTGGTATCCGATAAATTCAAAATGCTTACGCACTGTGAAAAAAGACTTCACAAAGGATACTGCGAAACTAGTAAAACCCTACCTTTTTAACTGTTCGATGAACAAAAGTCCAGAAACCAGTGCTATCCATTTTGACGTTGGTAGCTATGTAATGGCTGCATGGCGCAACGACTTCGAATATCTTGCTGAGGTTCTAGCCCATCGTCAGCGACACGGCACAAGAGCAGAGTATCGTTTGCGCTATATTTGGGATCGTGTTGTAGAGTGGACACCCGTCAACAAGTTACGCAAAGCAACTCAATACGAAATCGATTATGTTTTGAAATTTTGCAAAGAGCAAGGCTCACTACCTGCAAATAAAATCCCCAATAAATTTGATCTGCAACATTCGTGTAGTAGTAGTAGTAGTAGTAGTGAGTATATATCAGGAATACCTCGAGCTAAAAGAATAAGAACAACTCTGTCAGAAAGCAGGTCAACAGACCGTGCCTTAGATTCTGAAATACCAAAGTATCGATCACGTCCTACTCGTGCAAGTACTAGCAGTTCATCTGTCTTAGAAGACAAGAAGATTCTTCACCCAACATTGTATGATGGGATTATCGAACAGGATGGAATGGTTTATGACAAGATTGTTTTTCAATTTCATGAGGCCTGTCGAAGACGCCGTGAATTGAAGAGGAAAGCTATCGAAGAGAACGAGATGTATCTATATGGATTCGATGGTTCTGTGTCTGCCTTATGTCAAACATCCTCCGAAAGGTCAAATCACCAAACAAGACGTGATCCCAATTTACTGAACAGCCCTAAAAGTAGTTCTGTAAGCGCTGAAAATTATACAACGGAAAACACAGTTACGCCACCATTGGGATCGCCAATCTCATCCTCTCAGAAAAGTGACGAAATAGTAAGTATAATTTTTATCACCTAAGACCTATCAAATAATTTTTGTGGTCACAGTTTGCAGTGCCTATAATTTGTACTCTTAAGTGATATTCCCTAGTTGTACGGTCGATTACAGGGGTTAAATGAGCCTGACGATAGTTTTTGTAAATGTTGGTGATTGAATGAAGAAACCTTAGTAGCTGAAATAGATACTCCACAGGAATCACTTCATAGCCCTTTGACCTGATAGTTTGATTTGCGCAGCAAGTCAACAACCTCAGGAAATGTATATTCATTGTTCCTGGTTACTTAAGCCTGTCTATATGTCATTATTTCCCTCACAATTTTGGGATCCGACCCAACGCCTTTAGGTACACTTAATATGTTCGCCATCCCATCCTGTGTTGGATGTCTTCCTACTCTTTTGTAAAACACCGGGAAGTAAAAGTTCTATGTTGGAAGACAAGCACCCAGTTATATGAGAGCTCAAGGAGGTTGACACCCACTTACTCTTTTCCGTGTCAGGATGACCTGTAATAACCAGTTCGTTATGTGAAGTAGCATCTTAGATCTTTTTTACTTGTAATAGTTGTCTGTATCTACATAGTGTTGCTTACAATATCGAGCTTTATAACGAAGGATTGGTATCCGTCACAATCGATTTCATGTTTTCAAAATACAGAATCTTCATATCGTCATTTTGTCCCAGAAAATCTTGTGTTTTCATGCTTTCCTGTAAGTAATTAAGTGATTAGTACTCACAGCCACCAGTTTAAGGGAAGCTCAAGTTTAAGAGACCTCAGATCAGATTAAAACGTAAACAGTTGTCATACATCATAAAGTTAGTTTGAGAGAAGTAAAAGTGATAGCAAACGAGTAGGGACATGTTATTAAAGCCTAAGTTATTTTATCTCTAGATTCTACATTTGTGATGAAATCAATTTCAGAAATCATAAAATGATTTACAGTGAGCTTGGTTCACTGGTTTTTAGTATATTCTTATATGCATTTACTTATTTAGTATGAAGCTCGCTATTTTATTATTAATGTATCTTTATTGTATTAATCAGTTCACCGTGGTATTTATATTCAGTGACAATTACTCTGTTCGTAAATTATAATTATGTTAACCGATATATAACTGATTAACTTTGGCTTCTGCTTGAAAATGTACTTATGTTTCTCTTCAAGCCGTGCTTTGATTTGAAACCGGTTGAATGGAATACTGGGTTGTTAATGATCTAATAGTGACAAACATGATAAAAATGATTCGTAGCCAACTGTATTTGTGTTAAGTGTTTTAGGAACAGTGGTTAATGTAATAAGTTTACAACCAACATGTTCAGCGTCCTAATATCAACTTTTATATGTCATTCTTTTCTCGAGTATAATGGGGAGTTGAACGTTTGAGACAGTGTGATATTCACGGTCGTGGATCTTAAGCCACAACACTCGGAGTTTTCAGTAATCGATTTATGTGGTTTTGTAGGTGGCACCTATCAAATTTGGATTTCCTTATGGGACTCAAGTCAACAGTCATTAATTACATAGGTCATTGTTATATCTTTTTATGTGAGCCTTGTATGAGAATTGTTTTTTAAACATCTGGTTTTCATCACTTTGGTATTATACTAGTCTCTTTTATTGAGTGACTGATGGTTAATAATATGATTGTTTATCCCTACATTTCATTTTACAAAAGCGTTTCAACTCCAGTATTTATGTTATGTGTCACTTAGACACAATACCATTGTTCCAGGTCATGCAAAGCCCAACAGTTTTATTACGTAGCGTGGAGTGATGGAAAAGCAGGTTAGCTTGTAATATATGATGACTCCCTGGTCAGGTTGCTTGGGGTTTGGGACCGCCAGATATTTTCTAGGAATAATGCTGAACTTATTTTTGGTAAAATTCATAACTTCTACACAAGCTGTATGACGAAAAGCTGATAAGTGTATTGGTTGGCTTCTTTTACTCAATATTAATGTGCATTATTTTCCGACCTCATCAGATCCTCATGCTTTGTTATATTTTACATAGTGACATTTGTCTTTTCTCTCATAGTGTACCATATTTTTTCCTACATAGTTATGCAGATAAATCTGTAAATCACTGTGTAAAGAGGCAGTGGTCAGTTTTGCTTGATCCTGTGAAGTTGAAACTAAACTGAAGCCATTATAAGGGGCTGTAATACTACTCACAATGAAAGATTATGTTTTTCGTATCAGTGTTCGTTTTTAATGTGTCCTTTTTGCCAATTTCGTGTATTATATTTTAGTTAGATACTGCTTCTATTTATGATAATGTCAGTATAATGCTTTTTCCTAAAGAAAGAAACGAAGCTGTTAGAGAAGGCATCTCATCTCTCAAACAGTTCATTAAATTTGTCTGAGTCAAGTAAATGTGATGAACGACCACGTCGAACTATAGTATACAAAAGAGAAGCAGAAATAAAAATATCTAGTATGCCTATCTCAAGAGAGATTTTCACGAAAGTTCCCGCCAAATCAGCTGCTCCTGTTGTATATCCATGCCCTCACTGCTCTCGTCAGTTGCGAAATTCAAAATTACTCGACGCTCACATTGTTAATTATCACAAAAGTGTAACTGGTAGCACAAAATCCACAACACACACGAAAAAAGAAATTTATCAGAATCGATATTTGCCATGGAAATCTCATATGCAGTTATCTTCTCTTGGGCCAATCTCAAAGGAAAAACCAAGGTATTTGGTTTTATAGTAGTTATCTTATTATTCACTAGCTTTTCTCATTTCTGACTTTTGTTCAAAGATGGTTTTTGTCTGATAACTTCTGTGGCTTTTTTATAGTTAATTTTGCCCGAAACACCTTTAAAAACTTGCCTTAGTCAATACCTTTAAATACATTTTTTAAATGTAAATGTTCCGCATAACTAAAAGGGACTAGTTTATTGTGTAATCACCGTCCAGAAGACGTATATGAGTTATCTATTGCTTGCTTTCCTCAATAGTTTTAATTCATGACACTGCTAAGCTTAATGAAAAATAAAGAAAATGCAGTTTTAAGTTCTCTATTTGCCAACAGAGTTTGAAGTCTCTGTATATTCTGAATGGTTTTTTTATGTATTAAAAGTACTTACTTTTATAATGGAGTGCGTTTTACAATCATCAAGTTGGATCCCTTTCTCATTCTTCATGTTTTTAATACTTGCACCTACATCTTTAAAATTGTTATTTAATGGTGTTGCAGTTCCAAACTGTATGCACTTGTTTCAAAATGAATTTAACTTAATTCAAGTTTGTTTTGTTTTATATGGATGCGATCATAGGTTTTTTGCCGTCTTCATATAGATTTATTTTCTTGTTTTTATTGAACCCTATTCTGATAGATCAAGTGCTCCTGAGTTCACCAGACTTCTTTCTTGTCACTGTTGCAATGCACGAGCATATGCTACAGAAAAAGAACTTGGTCTTATTCAATGTTCACATTGTTTATGTTGGTTTCATCGTTTGTGCGGTGGTACTTCATTTGACTCGAAACTATTTTCAAATGTAGACTTGTTGAGTAATAACGAACTTTGTTCACCTGTTGTTTGTAATGATTGTCGGATGGTCTTACGTCCAGCTAGGAGATCCCGCAAAAACGAATGGCGTACGGGGTTACTACGATCACATGACCTTAACTCTGAATTTTCAAAACGAGGTCTGTTAACTGATGTGTCGTCTATTTTGAATAAAGCCTGTCAGTTACGTCCATTATTAGCTTCTGGGTGGCAGATATTGAACAGGTCAAATTTGCCTTCTGTGTCTGATCAAGTAAAGCAAGATTCTGGCGTTTTCAAAAATGCCTATCAAGACGCATCCAAACCAAGTGAATTTCCAACATCGAAGTTTGCTGGAAGTATCAAACATACAGCTCCCGTTATACATACCCCTGAAGATCAAGTCAATCGTAAGTCATCTCTTTTAAATAATTTCTACTATTAGTATTTTATTATTGTTAGTAATTTCAGCATATGTGTCTGACTTATCACTTAAGTATCGAGATACTATGATTTCGTTTTTAATGCTGTTTTGTAATTCTAGTTAGTCCAGATGTATTACTAACTACTGGATGTATCTTAGTTGTTGATATTTCAATTACAATGGTGCTTGATGGTCACTTTGATTTTGATTAGGTAGTCCTGTATTCTCTTATGTTGTAGAACGTCGGGTGCATACTATTATACAATACATTGAGGGCTCGAATGAATAACCCGAGGGTATCATTTATTTTTTGGATTGGACCCACTATAGGTTAAGTTACAATATTTGAAGTCGATGTTGTTGGTTCAAAAACTTTCACTCTTGATACGTATTCTGTAAATTATATTCTTCTATACTGGTTTATTTGGATAGTGTAGTAAGAAAATAAAGATTATCAGAACTGTTACATATTAACACAATACATTTAGAACTATCGGATCACAGATACACTTATTAAGAACATTTAAATATGAAAAATAAAGGGTCAACTAGGTAAATTTAAGGTAAAAGGAAACGAAGATACTAAAGAAAGTAAACCGAAACTCACCATGCTGGATAATAAATCAATTTTACCTAAGTCTTTTATGTAACTATTCTCTGACGGATTCTTCTGAGTGAATGGATTGTTTACGTGATATTAATTTCGAGGGAAAGACAATGTATTCTTTCAATGTGACATTCCTTGTTCACAAATATGCTGTTACAAATATATATATATATATATATATATATATATATATATATATATATATATATATATATATATATATACTTAATAGGATTGATCGTATTTGTATAGACGGTACGACTGAAGACAAAGTGAGGTTACTGAACAAAACACTGATGGAGCATGGCCGTTCTATGAAATTCACAAATCGACTGTAAAGTCACAGTATAGTGAGACCTACTACATTTTTGGTACCGAAAAACCCTGTCTACATCACTCTACCATTTGGAGGTGAAATAAAGGCTCAAACCAGTTTTTAGTAAGACGTGCTATTCAGCGAAAGTCATTATCATTGAAAGAACAAGCTCTATGCTTCACCATAAACCTAAACAGGATGTAAACGATTGGATAACATTCTTGATTGCAGCCCTGGCGTCCTCCTTCTGCATCTCAAGCCTGGACTCAGATTGATCACATCGCGATCAGCGACAGCTGGCGTGGTTGTGTACAAGACTGCCGCTCCTTTTGGAGTACCTATCTGGACTCTGATCATGTCCTGGTCTGCGCCAATCTTACCTTACTTTTCAGTGGCCAACGAAGTGACCGCCACCAAAGGATTGATGTCAGCAAGTTGGTTGCAACTTCTGTTGCTACTAAGTATCGCGCCAAGCTAGCTTCTAGGTTAGCTACCATTCCACTGAAAAGTATAGATGAGCATTGGTTGCCACAATTGATTGATCACTGGGTGGTGATCAATGTCATGCTTGTCTAGTCCTTATTAGTGCAGATCGAATGCTATCGATCATGTTGCAATGTGGCCACCAGTCTAGGTGACTCGACACTGCGAGCAATATGTATTGCGATTTAGATGGTGGTTGGAGGTAGTCAACAGGAAACCCTGGACCCGGGTTTCGTGCTACTAGCTCAGTGGTAACGTCTCTGACTGTGAAGCTGGGTGACACGATATCGAATCCGCCAGGGCGCACCAGTTCCCTCAAGATTACAGGTACACCTTGCTGACGAGTGCCAAGTAGCACGAAACCCGGGTCCAGGGTTTCCTGTTGACTACCTCCAACCACCATCTAAATCTCAGAGCATTAGTTGCAGTTGCATGACGCCATGAAAATGGCGAGTAAAGCCGCTTGCGGCTTCGCGAAACGTCCCGCTTATAAGCACTGGGTTTCTTCAGGCTCCTTACAACTCATTGAAGCCCGTCGGTCTACTCCGGGTGACCGTGAGTTTGACCACAAACGAAGGATATTACGTAATGAAATCAGGTAAAGCTTGCGTAAGGACCGAGAAGCCTGGTGATCGGAGCATGCTAATGAGCTGGAAGCAGCAGCTGCATCTGGTAACTACCGGAAGCTCTTCCAACTCATCCGAGCCACTGGCAGCAAGAAGTCTGGTGTGAGCGAAACAATCTGCGAGAATGATTGGATGTCAATCACTAACATCCATCGACGTCTTGGACGATGGGCAGAATTTTTCGAAGGGCAGTTCAACTGGCCTGCTGCCCCGGCAACATCGATCAGCTATCAGGAACTCCAACTCTTGAAGCGCTACAAATCACCTGGCCCAGATGACTTACCTCCGGCTCTTTTTAAAGATGGTGGTGACTTTTTGACTAAGGAACTGACGACGTTGTTTACAAAGGTTTGGGAACTAGAGAGTGTACTAATGTCATGGAATGAGTCGATAGTTGAAAAAGTTTCACGTCGTTCTTGTAACAACTATCGGGGGATTGCGTCCAAGCTATTGGCTTCCGTCATACTTCGTAGGTTGTTCAAAAGCCGAAAATGATTGACTGGTGAGGAGCAGGCTGGGTTTCGTTCTGGTCGAGGATGTATTGATCATATCTTTACCCTCCGCCAAATGTTAGAACACCGCCATACTTATCAAAGGCCAACAATCGTAGTGTTTCTTGACATCAGGGCTGCCTTCGATTCGTTGGACAGGACTGTTCTCTGGGATTGTCTATTGAAGAAGGGGGTGTCTGAGAAGTTTATTAACATCCTAAAAGCCATATATACAAACACCTCAGGCAGAGTGAGGGCATACAACCACCTCTCTCCATTGTTCCATTCAAGCAGTGGGGCTAGGCAGGGTTGCTCAATCTCACCATTCCTCTTCAACTTTGCCATCAACGACATTCTGGAAACATCTGCTGGATGTAGGCACTGGTGGTGTGGATCTGTTGCCTGGAGAAAGCCTTCTCGATCTTGAGTATGCAGGTGATATTGCCTTACTGTGCGATGATACCCAAACCATGCAATCGTCACTTAATCAGTTGGCAATCAGTGTCCGTAGGTACGGTATGAGATTTGCACCTTCTAAGTGCAAAGTACTTTTACAAGACTGGCAGGATTCTAATCCTGTACTCACTCTGGATTGTGAACAGATAGAATTAGTCGAGAAGTTCGTGTATCTGGGTAGCTGCATAAGTGCTGGTGGTGGCGCGAATGAAGAGATCAATTCAGGAATAGTGAAAGCCAGAGCGGCTTATGCCAATGTGGGCCATCTTTGGCGCCTTCGTGATGTTGGTCTGGCTGTAAAAGGTCGGATCTACAACGCGCTGGTGAGAGCAGTTTTGCTCTATGCCTGTGAAACCTGGCCTCTCCGAGTTGAGGACGTTAAACGAGTCCCTGTGTTCGATCATCGTTGTCTCCGAAGAATTGCTGACATCCAGTGGCAGCATCATTTGAGTAATGCAGAGGTTCGGCATCGTGTGTTTGGGCACAGAGACGATAATACAATCGATATCACCATCTTGAAACACCGACTTCGGTGGCTTGGACATGTTCTATGAATGTCGTCCCAAAGAATTCCACGTCGTGCATTATTTGCCGACTCTGGGACTGGTTGGAGAAAGCGGAGAGGTGTTCAGTATATGACATGGTGTCGTGGTATGAAAGAAGGCTGCAAAGGGCTATCTTGTGTTGGACCTTGACGACTCCTTGGCTGGGGTCCGAGAGATGGTGCGACACAGTGGCTAGGGACGATATCAGATATGGCTCAGAATAGAAGCTAGTGGCGATCCTGCTGTAACCTTCTTTTACTTTCTTCATAAGCAGTGGTTGTATCTTCCTTGACTGAAAGATTTCTTCTGGTTGTACCTTTCCGTTTCCGCCATTTTTATTATTTTACACTACCTTACACTAATCTGTACGTTATTTTTTTACTCTCCTTACCTTGTTTTCCTTCTCTTCGAATTCTCGTTGTTTTGTGTGGCGCATATGTATTTGGTGCTCTCTTGTATTAATATTTATGTGTTCAAATAAATAATAAATAATCACATATTACTGTGTTCATCAATTCGAGTGTGTCTGGCTACACAAATTAGGGTATCTAAACACGTACCAAAATGGTTGCAAAAAAAAACAAATAAAGTCAAATGACTCAATAATAGTAGACGATAGATATCCATCTTCTTATCTATCGCTAAATACATAGTGGAAACAGTAGTGTTTGCTGTATCTTCTACCTTTCAGAATTAATGATCAGTTAAAGTGACATTCAGAATGGTAGTTGTTTACTAAGATATTTTATACGATGTTCTTTTATAGTTCATCTGTGTAATTATAAATGACTTGTGGCTACTCTTTTTTGTATTCTGATGTGATTGATGATCCAAAAAAGACGTAAATGGTATGTCGATTGACACGAATACATATCGAACAAAGTACCTTAGACCAGCCCGACCGTTGTTGCTACCTTGACGTGGTGGTCGGGCTTGCCTATCGTGATGAAGCAACCGAGCTATACTGGCTGGAACAACCGTTCCTCAAGGTCCTACCATGTCAGACAGGTCGGTTGAAGAGCGGTAAGACTAAAAGCAACAAACCCAAGGTCCGAAGGCGAAGTCGTACTGCTGACTGTACAGAGGTGTGACAGCAGTAAGGTGTTTCCTTCAGACAACCAGCATGACAGCGATGCTGCCTTCCCACAAGGAGGGGTGGGGTTAGAAAAGGTCGACCCTAAAAATGCACACCTCGCCTTATCCCACGGATATCCGTCTCCGGCGGTAAGGTCTCAATAAGTACAGAGCTAACACAAAAATTACCCATAACAAGGTCGTGTGTGACCGACCTCAAGCAGTTGTCCCTTGGGCACTGCGGTCACGCTCTCAGGTCACTAAGACCACCTTTAATCCAAATTCCTTTTCAGGTACTCCCAGAACAACCCTTCCACGGTGTGGGCAACCGGGAAGTGAAAACCGCCCTCATACCTCTAACAGCACTCAAGACCACTGTATTCATAATCAACCTTCCTCTTCAATCCCTATTATTCCTCCTACATCGACTTTCAACTTTAAATTTCCTCTCTCGGCTTCCACCTCAAGTGTCACCATAGCCAACGATTCTGGTGCGCAAAATACTGTCCCAGGTCTACTGAAACCTCGCTCCAAACTACACATTGGAGCCTTCAACGTACGAACCCTATGTCAAATCGGTCAGCAGGCTTCCTTGGCTAAAACCCTAGAGTCTCTTACCATTGACGTGTGCTGTGTCTCCGAAACACGCATACAGGATTCCAGTGTGGTCATTCACTTGACCTCACCTCGGCAAAACGGAGAGCCAACGAGGTACACCCTTCGTGTATCTGGTGACCCGATGGCAAGTTCTCGTGGACTGGCAGGTGTAGGCATAGCACTAAGCATGAGGGCCGAACAAGCACTGCTAGAGTGGATCCCCGTCAACAGTCGTCTATGTGCTGTTCGGCTGAACGGCTACGTAAGAACTCGGAAGGATAGGAACACACGTCGTTGCCTTTCTGTCGTTTCTGCCTACGCTCCCACTGACTGCAGCTCAGATGATGTGAAAGACGAATTTTACAGAAAGCTGTCCGAACTTCTTCAGAAAGCTAAACGCTCAGACATAGTACTCGTAGCAGGTGATTTTGATGCTCAGATAGGCAGTTTAAACCAAACAGAAAGGCATTTAGGTGGATATTTTAGTATTCCGACACAGCGAACAGATAATGGTGATCGTCTGCTGCAGCTATGCTCAGACAATCGTTTATTTTTAGCAAACACAAATTTTAAGCATAAGGAGAGACATCGTCTAACATGGCGACCCCCTACACCAAACCAACGATGGACTCAAATAGACCATATTGCCATCAGTCATCGTAAGAGAGGGTCGGTAGAAGATTGTCGCTCATTCTGGAGTACCTGCTTGGACTCCGACCATGCCCTAATACGGGCACGCATCTGCTTGCGTCTCACTGGACGCAAAAAAGCCACATTAAAAAGACCCATTAGAACTGAATTGAGTAACGAGAAAACCAAAAATAGGTTCCAAGAATAACTGAGTTCACAATTAGGTAGTTGTGAAGACGAGGCTGACCCAGATGTTGCTTGGAAGGGCATACAATCAGCTGTGGAAACAGCAGTGACATCTATTAGTGACTTAAACCACAGAGTTGTAAGGAACCAGTGGATTTCTTCAAGGTCTGTCACACTGATGGATTCTCGCAAACTCGTCCCATCAGGTTCTGAACATGATGAAGAGCGAAAACAAATCAGATCTAGGTTAAGAAAAAGTCTAAGGAACGACCGTGAGCAGTGGTGGGCATCGAAAGCAAAAGAGATGGAAAAGGCGGCGACTATAGGGAACACAAGACAGCTTTACAGACTAATAAAAGAAACTGGAATTAATAAGTCAAGTGTAAGTGAGATTATATCGGAAAAAGACGATACACTCATCTGCTCCAAGTCCAGACGTTTAGAACGATGGGCGGAACATTTTAGAGAACAGTTCAGATGGCCTTCAGCTACTCTACAACTACCCTCCATTCCCAGACAGTGTGAATGGAACATTGAAGTAGGTCCCCCGACTCTTACTAAAGTTCAAAAGACTATAGTTAATCTGAAACGAGGAAGGGCAGCTGGTCCAGATGGACTGGCTCCAGAAGTCTTTAAGGTTGGTGGTCCAATTTTAGCGATTAAGTTGACTAATATTTTAGCTAAGATCTGGGAATTAGACTTTATCCCATCTGACTGGTCGCAATCACTTATCGTCCCAATATATAAGAAAGGGTCAAAATCATCCTGCGACAACTACAGAGGTATTAGTTTAACAAACATAGTATCTAAAATACTGGCCTCGATAATTATCAAACGCCTAACTAAGACTCGTGAACTACAAACTCGAGAGAACCAAGCTGGCTTTAGACCTGGTCGTGGCTGCATCGACCACATATTCACCATTCGTCAGGTTCTAGAACACAGGCATACCTGTCGGCGTCCGACGATGGTGGTATTTCTCGACTTAGAAGCAGCATTTGACTCGGTAGACCGCGAGACTCTGTGGCAGTGTCTGTCATTGAAAGGCGTACCTCAGAAGTACATAAACCTTGTGAAGGCTCTTTACTCGAACACTACTAGTCGAGTCAGGGCTTATGGCGAACTGTCATCTACTTTTGCAACCTCAAGTGGTGTCCGTCAAGGCTGTCCACTTTCTCCATTTCTGTTTACCTTCATCATAGACCTATTGATGGAAATAACACTCTCGTCGATTGAACTCTCGGGTATTGATCTCCTTCCAGGAGGTCCACTTATCGACTTAGAATACGCAGATGACATAGTCCTGTTTGGTGAAGACGCTGACAAAATGCAGAGTCTTCTGGTAGCACTAAGCAACAATGCCAGAATGTTTGGGATGCACTTCTCTCCCTCTAAATGCAAGTTGTTGCTTCAGGACTGGTCTGGGTCAACACCTGAACTAAGGATAGGGAGTGAAGTAGTCGAACGCGTTGACAACTTCACTTATCTTGGAAGTCTGATCAGCCCTAATGGGTTGGTGTCTGACGAAATCTCAGCACGGATTCGAAAAGCTCGTTTGGCTTTTGCCAACTTACGTCACCTTTGGCGGAGGCGAGATATCCGTCTATCAATAAAAGGACGAGTATACTGTGCAGCAGTTCGTTCTGTTTTAATTTACGGCAGCGAAACATGGCCGTTAAGAGTAGAAGAAACCCGTAAGTTACTAGTATTTGACCACAGATGCCTTAGAAATATTGCTGGCATCTGCTGGGATCACCGGGTAAGTAATAGTGAGGTTAGACGCAGGGTATTAGGGAATGATGGTAAATCAGTTGGTGAGGTTATGAATCTTCATCGACTGAGATGGTTGGGCCACGTATTACGTATGCCTGAACACCGATTACCACGACGTGCAATGCTAACCGGGGTAGGGGATGGTTGGAAGAAAGTTAGGGGCGGCCAAACCAAAACGTGGCATCAGTGCTTGAAGTCACTAACTTCTAGTCTGAGCCATGTTGGTAGATGCAGACTACTTGGTTGGTGTCCGCGTGACTTTCGTAACCAATGGTTGGAGACTCTTGGTGACATGGCTCAGAATCGATCACAATGGCGTCGGTGTATACACTCCCTGTCTTCCCTTAAACTAAGAGACTAAAATAACTTCATTCTTTCTGTCTGCGAACTAATTCTTTCTTCCTATACTATATCCTTATTGCAACCTTTGACCTAACCACTCCTATGAATCCGCTGTTCATCTTGCTGTGCTAATGAGGTATGGCAACCTGGACCGATGCACATATGTGCCTGGTCCTACGTTGTAGCTGACTGACTGACTGACCTTAGACCAGGCAGTTCTTCTATGTTCAGTATTTATATTCACAGGTATTGTTCCTATTATCAATCTGGATTCTGTTTTGGGAAATATAGAACAAACACTATGTGGAACACTTGATTTAACCGTGGTGGATTCATACCTTCGGAATAAAGAAAATAGTCTCACAGTTGTTGTAGACTGTCTTAACTGTTGTTTTTTAAATGTTAAAACTTGACTAGTTACCACATTGTTTCTGCTTACAATCACCTCTTTTACGTCCAGTTTCTTGTACTGTTTTCTTATATGTTTTATGCAAATGCAAGCAACAAATGAACGTTCTATATCTGGTTCACTCCTATCTATCGTAAAGAATTACTTTAATCTTCCAGATTACTTTTAGCTCTAAGTTAATGAACGTATACTATTTGAGTTATATCACTTAAACACTAGTTAAAATCTGACATTCGAAGATAATCTGAAATAACTTGTATCTTCTGAAATAAACGTTTTTTGGTATTGAAATAAATCGTATCCGAGTTCATAAACGATGATCATTGTTGTTGATGAAGTTCTCTAAGGCCAAATCACTTAAGCTATGTGAACGTTGGGTTTGTTTTGGCCAAGTAAAAAAATGTTGGGCAATCATATAGAACTTAGTGGCTAGTGTTACTTGTTTTATAGGACTGGGCAGGTTTATTCTTTCGCTTCCCTGAGTTTGTATTTACTTAGCATGCCTTATGGCATGGTAGTGGTTCTCTTTATATAAAAATTGTTACTTTGCATGTACTAAAATATATAACCAATCTAAAATTAAAAGTTCCTAGTTTCTTGTCTCTTTCCATAGTACATATTATTGTTTAGAGATTTCTCTTTAAAAATTCCGACTATGTTACTTTCCATCTTTATTTTAGAACAATAATGATGAAGAATAATTGCTTATTCGGTCTTGATAGAATTTTACAAAAATGTTCATAGACAGTTTTTATTTAAAATTTTGCTAAATGAAGAATTTCGTTTCTTCATTTTGTTTTATAGGTCTCTATATGGAATTAAGGGGTATAGCGTTTGGAAATCTTTCTGAAGCTAATGGTGAAATCACTGCGTCTAAGTGTGATCACTTACAACTACCAAACGATAATCATACTTTTTGCATTTCTACTCCGGACTCTGAATGTCCTAATACCAACTGGCCATTAGACGAAGCAATTAACGGTTCTGCTCAGTCGGAATCCGTTTCATACCAAGTTACTGATCCTACTTATCATATTGCTTCTCAAGATTTGTCAGGATTTCTTCAGGATCTTGGTCCCGATATCATTCCAGAAATTTCAGGTTTTAATGTTGATGGAGTGATAAATATCAGTAATGTTACTTCTGATTCCTGTTCTGTAGATGAGTTTTTGAAGGTACCCAGATCTTATCCAGAACAGCCACCCGTTTCACAGAATAATGATAAGTTATGTAGAGAGAACACTGCTTTGCAGTTGCTTTGTTCTCATCCTAGGATTACTAATACGTCTGATAAAGATCTAGGTACTATTCTTGATATTTCTGCTTCGGAAGATTCTACTCTAAGTCCTTTGAAATATTTTTCCAATACTGTATGTAATAATCATTTAGAGTCAGGTCAGCAACTTCTTTCATGCGATTCTAATATCCCTTCAACCTCGTCACCTGACAAGCCTATGATTCAAACATCCGTTGATGTCAAAATCAACAGATCCAATATCGATGGTGGAATTTCAGTCAAGTAAGTTGCTTTATCTTAGTGTGATTTTAATCGAGACATTGGAAAAGGTGTAGATGTTTTTCATCGAAAAACATATGTGAATTATTCTTAATCTTGGTACAATCGGTCTGTAGTATTTGTGAGCTTTTGCAGTTTTACTGTGGATCTCCTAAAGTTAATTAGGCTTAACCATTAAGTCAGGTCGCATAATTCTATTGATCTCCTAGTTTCTCTCATTCGCATATCCATACTGTGATCATGAATATAACATACTTTACATGGTGGTTAATGTGTATCATAACTTAGTGTTGTTACATTTAGTGAGGCTTATATCTAAGATATGTATTGTGGATACCTAACCACCACCACGTACCTGGATGTGTAATATTGGTTGACATGAGAGTTGGTTGGCATAATGGTAAGGATGAGCAAATCAAGATTTGGGATCGTTCTGCGATGTCACTCACTTCTGGTCTCAATAATGTCGGTATGTGAACATTCTATGATTAGAACTCATGGAATACTCGTAGTGAGTGGTTTGAGATATTGAATGGGATTAGGGTAGAGCAGTTAGGATGATGGAATTGTATTATTTCTCTATCTTGCTCTAAATATTGGATTACTTGTGACCCATAACTCGTCATCTATCTCATTCTCGTAAAACTGCGTCTTTCTCTTTCGCTTAATTAAGTAATTGAAGTTAAATACTCTTATTCGCTTCTCATTTCTAGCTGTAATGATTTGGCAGCTATATGTACATGCCATGTTCTAAATTGATGATAACCGTCTGACTATATTGTTTAGTATTTGAATATTGCTTTTTGAAAGTCGAGGTTGTAGGTTTATGTATTGTCATTGACAGATACACGTTTCCATCCTGACTTAGAGTTTAATTTAAAGGGTAATTTCTATTTTGAAATATTTAAGAGTGAATGTTCTCAGTAAATAATGAGTTATCTGAAGCATAGAATAATTTTGTGAAACATTCTTGTAAGTATGGAAAACATTAAATGTTAAACATTCAAGCTGTTTAATAGAAATAACTCGTTAATTGATATTTGCTTGTTTCCGTATGTCATCAGTGAATCAAGTGACAGAATTTCAACTAATCATTTGGGAACGGCTGTCGGATCAGATATTATCAACCTTTCTATTCCAAAATGTGCACGTTCAATCATCTCTGATTTACTGAGTAGTCCTTTAAATGATGATTTCGTTACACCTTGTGTCAGTCAGCAGTCTGATCTAAAAGGATCTAATATTCTGCATACATCTTGTAAGTATACTTTTATCCTTCTGTGCTTTCTACTATTGGTCTGCAATATCTATTTTGTATATCAGTATGTTTCTATTTTTATGTAATTGTTTATGGAACAGTTATTCCACTTAGATATATTATGGATATGCACTATCTGTGTTCATTTGGATATTACTATGGAAATTCAAATTTACTTCATATTTAAAACAATATAAAAATTAAAAGTTATTGAAGCAGTATCTGAAATTTTCAGGGTAATTTTGTTATTGTAGACATTCTTTTCAGTTTGTAAAAATTACTAATTTTTAGATTTTTATTTTCTTAAGTAATAAACTGATATTTTTCTCGAATTCCAGGCACATCGAATGAATTTGTACACCTCTCATCAACGTCTGGATTAAATTCTTTGGACATTGACTGGTTAGAGGCAGATAGCCATAATCAGTCTGTGAATTCTTCTACTAGTCCAGTGTATCAAAATAATGTCAAGATATATGACCATTCCATGTTGAATGAGTTTTCTGATCTTGCCAACCATATAACAAATTTAAGCAACATGACCTTTCATTTTTCAGTTGAACAGCTTAGAAAGTTAGCACAAACTCAAGATAACTTGTTGAACGTAGATGAGTGTATCTTAACGCCATTTGAAAATGCTCTAAGTGTTATGGAAGCCCAGTTGGATGTAATCACAACCCATGTTACCAACTTTGAACAACTGCAGAAATATGATCATAATAATATGAATACAGAATGCGGTTATTTGGAAGACGAGAAAGTTCCTTCATACACAAAACATCAAGGAACAAATCAAGTTCTTACTCCCAGAGGTCCTTTAAATTTGTCTCAGTCATCTAATGGAGTACATGCGACATTTTCCTGGGGGAAAATGAATGACAAAGCTTCGTTTCCCTTTGTTCTCGAAGGTGCAAAACATAAAGAATATAAGATAGATTTAGAAACTTATTTAGAAAGTGCCAAAACTGCGGCTCAATATCTTTACCGTCTACAAAAAGTATCAATACAAGAGTCAAACCTTCATACTGACGTGCCAAATGTGTTGAATGATTAATTTCACAATCGTATCAATGGGATTTCAAATAGAGTAACTATTTATGCGAGCGACGATAGCAACAATGTCATTATGTCCTCAAGTTTACCTGTTTTAAAGTGACTGGAATAATTATTTTATTGATTAACCTCGTACAGTTTGTATATATATGATATGAACCTTGTACATCACTGCACCCATGCAATGTGACTACTACTGCATTCCAGTTTATACTAGTGTCCTGCATGTGTACTTTATTGGTACTAATACGTTTACATTACTGGAGTTTTGATTCTTATTCCCCTTCAGAGCTATCGCAATATGTAATGCTGTCATTTTTTTTCTAAATATTTTGCATGTACACATCCAGTTTATATAACTACTTGATTACTTCTATTCTGTTATTTTATACTTAGTATTCATCCATTTTATGTAATCTTCAGAAGTGTACGTCATGAAGTATTCATTTATTTACAGACATGTTTTCTTATCAGAATGCATGCGTTTTCTCTCTGCGATTCTGAAATACGTACCAAGAGTATCACCTCATCTTTTATTTCCTTTAACGTCATATCAGAAGGTAGCCGAACAAGTAATATATATCTGCAGCGTAAACAAAACACGACTCAACAAATAGAGATATTGATCTCAAGTCGCTTTTTCAGAGTGCCTGATATATGCTTGTAAAGTCATTGTGAAACGGCCTGATGTTTTTATGTAAATATGTTTTATAGTAACTACAATCAGTCTGAGAAGTGCGGAAACTTGATTCTGTAGTTCTCTACATTTCGAAACAACGGAAAAAGAGGAATATAATATGAAAATGAACCAAAAGCAAATGGTCATATAGGGAATATGATTTATTATTATTTTTTAGATTTAGGCCAAATAAATAGTTAGGATGTTTGAACTATTGGGATAGATTTTAATTCATGCTCGCAGCTACTGCGTTTCAAATGCTAATAGGATTAGTTCTAACTATTCATACACAACTCAGCCGACCGAAGCTGCTACCTTGACGCGGTGGTCGGGCTTGCCTATCGTGATGACCCAACCGAGCTATATTGGCTGGAACATATGTTCCTGTAGGTTCTACCATGCCAGGCAGGTCGATTGGAGAACGGTAAGACTAAAAGCAGCAACTCAAGGTCTAAGGGCAAAGTCGTACTGCTGACTGTAGAGGGGTGTGACAGCAGTAAGGTGTTTCCCTCGGACAACCAGCATCTGCAGCGATGCTGCCTTCCCATAAGGAGGGGTGGGGTTAGAAAAGGTTGACCCTAAATATGTCACACCTCACCTTACCTAACAGATTTCCGTCTCCGGTGGTAAGGCCCTTTGAAGAACGGAGCTAACACATTAAAAACCTTCCTCAAAAGGTCGTGCGCGGCCGGCCTCAAGGAGTTGTCCCTTGGGCTCTGCGGTCACGCTCCCAGGTCGTTAAGACCAACACTAATCCAATTTCCTTTTCAGGTTCCTCAAGAAATACCCTTCCACGGTGTGGGCAGCCGGGAAGTGATATCAGCCCCTATACCCGTAACAGCACACGAGACCAAGTTGGTCACATTCAAATCCTTCCTGCACCTCCTAATACCTCTCTTATCTCCATGATCAACCCTCCTCACGTCTCTTTATCACCTCGCACCGCTAGGGCAAACGATTCGAGTACGTGGAACGCTATTCATCGTCTCCTGAAACCACGCTCTAAACTACATGTAGGAGCTTTTAACGTCCGAACACTGTGCCAAATAGGACAGCAGGCTTCCTTAGCTAGAACTTTAGAATCTCGCGCCATCGATGTGTGCTGCGTCTCCGAAACGCGCATACAGGATCCGAGTAGCGTCATTCATTTGACCTCACCATGCAAAAATAAAGAACCGACTCGATTTATGCTTCGTGTATCTGGAAGCCCTGATCCCGCTTCCCGTGGCCTCACCGGCGTAGGTATAGCATTGAGTCCTAGGGCAGAACTAGCTCTCTTAGAGTGGATCCCAGTAGATAGTTGTTTGTGCGCAATCCGACTGAATGGAACAATAAGGATCCGAGAAGATAGGGACACTCGTCGTTGCCTCTTCGTTGTCTCTGCCTATTCTCCCACTGACTGCAGCTCAGATGATGTAAAAGATGAGTTTTACAGAAAGCTTTCGGACCTTCTCCGAAAAGCTAGGCGCTCCGATGTAGTAATAGTGGCTTGTGACTTTAATGCTCAAGCAGGTAAACTAAGCGAAAGGGAAAGACACCTAGGTGGATCTTATGGTGTCGTGGCTCAAAGAACAGATAATGGCGACCGTCTGTTGCAGCTATGCTCAGATAACCGCCTCTTTCTTGCAAATACTAACTTTAAGCATAAGGAAAAACATCTTTTGACATGGCGACCCCTAATTCGTCCCAACGTTGGACCCAAATAGATCACATCGCTATCAGCCACCGATGGAGGGCCTGGATAGAAGACTGTCGCTCATTCTGGAGCACATGCTTAGATTCAGCTCATGCCCTAGTGCGAGCGCGTATTTGCCTGCATCTTACTGGACGTAAGAAAGACGCTGCAAGGAAACCTCTTAGGGCCCTACTTAATGATAGTCGAGCTAAGAGTATGTATCAGGAACAACTAGGAAAACAGTTAGGCAGCCTTGTATGTGATGCCTACCCCGAGGCAGAGTGGAATGATATCCGAAAAGATGTGGAAACAGCAGTGATATCTGCTTGTAAGGTAAACCGTAAAGTTAGGTAGAAACACTGGATCTCAGCAGCATCTATCGCACTGATAGATGCTCGGAAACTCATTCCATCTGACTCTGAACGTAATGAAGAGCGGAGTCAGCTTAAGCACAAGCTGAAAAGAAGCCTACGCAATGATCGCGAACAGTGGTGGGTAGCGAAAGCAAGAGAGATGGAAAAGGCAGCGGCAATAGGTAATTGCAGACAATTGTTCAGACTCGTTAAGGAAACCGGAATTAGGAACCCAACGGTTAGCGAAACAATCTCAGAGAAAGATGGACATATTATACATCCAGGAGATTGAATCGATGTGCAGAACACTAGGGATCAGTTCAACTGGCCTTCAGCCACACTCCGGTTTCCCACGATCTCTAGTCAACCTGAATGGCAAGTTAATGTAGGTCCTCCGTCCCTTTACGAAGTTGAAAAAGCCATAGGAAATCTGAAACGAGGGAGAGAAGCAGGACCTGACAGGTTTACTATTGAGATTTTTAAGGATGGTAGTCCAGTATTAGCAATGAAATTAACCGAGGTCTTAGGTAGAATTTGGGAACTAGACGTAATCCCATCTGACTGGTCTCAATCACTGATTGTGCCAGTCTATAAGAAAGGACAAAAGTCCTCTTGTGACAATAACAGAGGAATCAGTTTGACTAATATAGTGTCTAAAATATTAGCTTCAATAATACTTCGACGCCTAACCAAAACTCGTGAAGAGCAGACTAGAGAAAATCAGGCTGGTTTTCGACCTGGATGTGGTTGTATAGATCAGATATTCACACTACGTCAGGTTCTAGAACACAGCCACACATTCAGACACCCCACAATAATAGTATTTCTCGACCTTAAGGCGGCATTCGACTCCGTTGATCGTAAGGTTCTATGGCAGAGTTTGTCACTGAAAGGAATACCAAAGAAGTACATTAACCTTATGAAGGCTCTCTACACGAACACAACTGGTAGAGTGAGAGCTTATGGCGAACTCTCATCAGAATTGATTACCTCAAGTGGTGTTCGTCAGGGCTGTCCACTCTCCCCATTCTTGTTCAACTTTGTCGTCGATGTACTTTTAGAGATAACACTTTCCTCGTCTAGATTTCCAGGCGTTGAACTCCTACCGGGAGGTTCACTTGTTGACTTAGAATATGCAGATGACATAGTTTTATTCGGTGAAGACGCTGACAAAATGCCGAGTCTTCAGACCATTCTAAACAAACAATGCAAGCATGTTCGAGATGCGATTCTCCCCCTCGAAATGCAAAACGTTGCTTCAGGATTGGGTTGCATTGACACCCGAACTAGTGATAGAGAGTGAAGTAGTTGAGTGTGTCGACTGCTTCACTTATCTTGGGAGTCTGATCAGCCCTTGTGTGTGACGGAATCTCAGCATGGATATAGAAGGCTCGACTAGCTTTTGCCAACTTGCGTCATTTATGGCGTAGGCAAGATATCCGTCTATCAACCAAAGGACGGGTTTACTGCGCAGCAGTTCGTCCCGTCCTACTTTATGGCAGTGAAACATGGCCGGTAAGAGTAGAGTATATCCGTAGGTTACTAGTATTCGATCAAAGGTGTCTTCGAAACATTGCCCGTATATCATGGGACCATCGAGTAAGTAACACAGTTGTTAGGGATCGGGTACTAGGTAGGGATGGCAAATAAATTGATGAAGTAGTGAAACTTCATCAGTTGAGGTGGCTGGAACACGTGTTACGTATGCCCAACCACCGACTGCCTCGACGTGCTATGTTCAGTGGTATAGAAGTTGGTTGGAAGAAAGCTAGGGGCGGCCAGACCAAAACATGGCACAAGTCTATGAAGTCACTGACAAGTGGACTGAGCCATGTTGGTAAGTGTAGACTACCTGGTTAGGGACCACGAGATGAAAGCAACCGATGGTTAGAGACCTTGAATGACATGGCTCAAAATCGTTTGCAATGGCGCAGGTGCATCCACTCTTTGTGTTCTCCCAAATTCTAATCTTCTGAATTCTTCATGTCCCTTTTTCCTCTTTCCAAATTTATTTCACTGGATTATACTCCTTGAATAACATCTCCAAACCCTAATCCTCCCGATTACTGCTTATACTCTTATTACCTCTACCACTACGGGATTTGAATCGACAACTGAATCTCTGTGCTAATGTGGTGTGGCAACTCGAACTGATGTACGTACGTACAAAGTTCTACGTTGGGACTGACTGACTGACTGATAGACAACTCAGGTTATTTATCTTTTGGTCGTATGTAGTGTTCCAACCATGGTTGTCACTCTTCACTGTCGGCATCATTGAACTTTGTTGTAGAAAGGTCACATATACAATACAGTCATCATCTTACAGGTGTAACTGATGTGACTTAATGGTCAGAAACTGACAATTAGCTTATATTACTTTAAATGAGTAGAATTTCTATGTTTAACGGTTCTTGGTTTTCATTATCGTGTAGCTTAAATTCAGTGTTCTTGTCACTTTACGTCACTTGTGGCGTAGGCTAGATATCAGTCTTCCAACCAAAGGGCGAGTTTACCGCGCAGCAGTTCGCTCCGTCCTACTTTATGGATGTGAAACATGGCTGTTAAGAATATGGGATATTCGTAGGTTACTAGTATTCGACCATAGGTTTCTTTGAAGCGTTGCTCATGTATTTTGGGGTCTTGGAGTAAGCACTGTCTGGGTTAGCAGTAAAGCACTAGGTAAGATGGGTAATTGACTGAAGAGGTAGTAAATCTTCATCAATTGATGTAGCTGGGACATGTGTTACGTATGCTCAACCATCGC